CCCCCGCCCCCCGCCACTGGGGATGTGCCCACAACCAAGGCACATGCCCTTGGCCGGAATCGAAACTGGGACCCTTGCAGTCCGTAGGCCGATGCTCCATCCACTGAGCCAAACGGGTCAGGGCATCCTTTCTCTTTAAATTAGCCAGAATGTATTCTGCACACTGACAACTAAAAATCCTTGATAAGCCCTAGCCGGTTTGCTCAGTGCTTAGAGCGTTGGCCTGCAGACTGAAGGGTCGTGGGTTCAGTTCTGGTCAAGGGCATGGATCTGGTACCTCGGTTCCAGGCTTGATCCCCAGCCCTGGTTGGGGCATGTGTGGGAGGCAACCAGTGCATGTGCATCTCTCACATCCATGTTTCTTTCTCTGTCTCTCCCCCTTCCTTCCATTCTCTCTAAAAAATCAAAGGGAAAAATATCCTCAGGTGAGGATTAACAAAAAAACCCCAACAAAACAAAAAACCTTTGATATAAGATACTTTTGGTACAGTGCACATTGTTTGCATGTCTATATAGTGACAAATATAAAGCTAACTTGCCTCTAAAATTACTCCATAGAGATTTTTAGATACCTGGTACCTGTCCTGGCAGGGCACCCTGGCTGTAATAAGAAAACTAGTTGGTTTCCTTCCTGAGCTAATTATGATATGAGGTAATTGTGAATTAACATCTCTAAGCTAAGATTTTGTTATGATTATTCAAATGGTGCTTCTTCAAAAATGCTTTTCCTCCCCTGCAAGGTTTGATACCTTATTATTGATCTTGATGTTACTGTAAAAGCTTTTAGCAGTCCTGAAACCAAAAGCCATAAACATTTTGACATAAGATTTCCATTTTAAACTCAGGCCACATTAAAAAAAAAAAAAGAGTGGTGTCAACTCTGGTCTAGCATGTTGGGAAGGTAATTATAGATGCTTAACATTCCTTTTTTGCACACATGCCTCTATTATTTTACTCAGTAGACAGCTGGGGGTCTACTCTCACTTGGTTTGTGTTAACAGCTATAATAGAAAAGGAAGACCTAGTGTCTGCCTTTCTTGAGCCCACTGCCTGGTTGCAAAGAACACCTGTTTAAGTAAACTATTATAGTGGTAACAAAATAGAGGTTATATACAAATAACAAGAGGAAAAGAGGAAGTAGTGAGCAAAACAAATGAAGTTAAGTCTCCAAGGTGTGTTGGGACTATATTGTAAGTTTTGGTAGACTAGAGATTATGTTTTTTTTAAGTGAGGAAACTGAGGTCAATAAGTTCATAATTCCTGGGTGGCAAAACAAAGTTAAACAACTGTGGCATTACAGAAAAAAATTCTCAATTAGTGGAATTACACTTCAATCTAGCTTAGTAAGGTAATATTGGTACTTTTTAAAGAATTATTATGAATTGGATATTCTGGAAAACAACTGAAAATGTTGGTTAATTATCACAGTACTGTTAATGTTAGAGCTGTGTTTTTTTGTTTTTAGAGTTGTGTTTTGAATTTAAGTGTGCTTCTGGAGTCTCAACCATTATATGTTTACATAATGATTATTAACTACCTTGAAATAACAATTCCTATTCTATTTTACTAAAGCAACATACTACTATGTTACAATTCCGTAAGTTTCGCTGAGAGCTGTAGTCTTTGCCATTTTCTTGGGTAGGGACATAACTGGTATTTTCAGAATTAAGGAAAGTGAGGGAGGAGGAGGGTATGCCAGTACATAGATTTTCTTCTATTAAAGTGCTTAATAACAAGTTAAATGCTCTTTACGTGGCAGGGAAGCTAGGCTCTCACAAATTCCTCGTGGTTGTTTTCTGCATCAGTCAGAAATTAAGCTGTACCTAAATTCCCATATCATATTCAGTCCGCTAAGTTCCAAAGGTAAGGTGATGGGGAGAGTGCTGCTGTGGTGAAGGCAGAAAGGGGTTGTTGTCTGTAGAGAATTTTAAAGCAATACACTGACTAAAAGACATAGGCTTATAATTATCCTATACCTGGCAATTCTAAATAGTGTCAGTGATAAAATACTGCCATTACAACCACCAGGTAGGCCCAGCCCTTGCTCCCAACATATGAATGAACCTTGATATGTAATCTTCTTGCCCTAGAGCAGTGGTCGGCAAACTGCAGCTTGCAAGCCACATGCGGCTCTTTGGCCCCTTGAGTGTAGCTCTTCCATAAAATACTGACTTCTGCGCATGGGCCACGAAGTTTCAATCGCACTGTATGTGCGTGCCCGCACGTGGTATTTTGTAGAAGAGCCACACTCAAGGGGCCAAAGAGCCTCATGTGGCTCACGAGCTGCCGTTTCCCAACCACTGCCCTAGCTGGTTTGGCTCAGTGGATAGAGTGTTGGCTTGCAGACGGAAGGGTCTCAGGTTCGATTCCAGTCAAGGGCACATGCCTGGGTTGCAGATCCCCACTCCTGGTCTGGGGCTCTGGTTAGGGAACCTGGTTGGGGTGTGTGGGGGATGTAACCAATCAATGTCTCTCTCACATCTGTTTCTCTCTCTCTCTGTCTCTCCCCACCTCCCTTCCACTCTCTAAAACTCAATGGGAAAATATCCTCCAGAGAGGATTAACAACAACAACAAAATTGGTTTATTGTCTTAGCTGGTTTAGTTCAGTGGATAGAGTGTTGGCCCACAGACTGAAGGGGCTCGGGTTTGATTCTAGTCAAGGGCACCTACTTCGGTTGCAGGCTCTTCCCCTGGCTCTGGTTGGGATGGGTGTGGGAGGCAACCAATTGATGTGTCTCTCTGACATCAGTGTTTCTCTGTCTCGCCCCCCCCTCTCCTAAAAATCAATGAAAAAATATCTTTCAGTGAGGATTAAAAACAACAACAACCTTATTAAATTAAAAGATTACGGGGGGAATTTCATGGGACATAGTTGTAGGAAGTACAGGTAGGCCTCCCAGAAGCTGAGTCTTCTCAGCAATTCTGGGGGCTCTGAAGTTCCACCTACCCAGAGTCCTGCTTTGGTTGCCCATTTTTCAGTGTTGGTGATACCTTAAAGGCTGGTTTATTTTTTTTAGCCTCATGATGCAGTGTTAGTTGTAAGAACTCCCTCAATGTAGACAGAATTTATAACAACTTCCTGATACTTGGCTCAGTGTGTACCAGTTATTTTTCATGAAAGCTGAATCCCAAGTATATGCAGGTCATAAGCTTGAAAGCACCTTGCCCTTTAAATCCACTTTCTGGTGCCTGCCATCCAGGGGAGGGGCCCATAACTGAGAAGACAGTTAAAAAAGTAACCTTTTGGCCCGACCTGCATGGCTCAGCAATTGAGAATCGACCTATGAACCATTCCTGGTCAGGGCACATGCCCAGGTTGCAGGCCCAATCCCCAGTTGAGGGGCATGTAGGAGGCAGATGATTGAAGTTTCTCATCGATATTTCTATTTCTCCCTTACTCAAATCAATAAAAACAATATTTTTAAAAAGTAACTATTTGGAGAAAGAGTACTTTTTGAAAGTCATTAATGTATTTGAGAAGGATCAAGCCCATTTTGGTGGAATGAGGTGAGAGAAGTGTATTTGTGCATCCTGCTTTCTTCTCCATCTTTTGAATACTCTTCTTTCCCACCCTCTATACTGTGATCCATTTATACTTTTCACCTCTGTGTGTGTCTGGTTACATGAGATTACTTTAGATGGTAATTTTACATAATTATGTTGTGGGCTTTAAGCAGTAGCTAGAAAGTGGGGGGCGGAGGGGGGAGAAATTAAGGGACATCTGTAATACTAAACAGTTTTAAAAAAAGAATATATACGTTCAGGACAAATTTGGAAAAGCACATTCTAATGTAAGGCAGATTGCTGTTTTTGACTTGGGAGAAATTAATTTCCAGCGGTAGAATCAGACTCAAAGGTCTGTATCAGTTTGGATGGCAGTAAAAATTGTATACTCTATAAAATCACTCTAAATAACTAAAAAATTTGCTCTAGATACAAAACACATGCTAATGTCAAAGATATGTGAATAGTTTGAATAAACTTTATGACATTTGCAAGCAGATTGGGGTAAAGCAGTATTACTATATTAATAGTATTTTATAGAGATATTTTTTATAGTACAGGTAGCTAAATTTTATATAGATACATTTCAAGTTCATCCACTCAAAAGGATTTATATTGTCAAATTAAGCCAAAAACTTAAAAAATACTACTTATTTAATGTTTATTTATTTATTATTAAATTACTTAATATTGGGGTTTTCTTCACATTTAAGTAATGGAAAGTCTTTTACCTAAATCTGTATTTTTAATGCACTGATTTTTAAAGTTTACAAATAGATCCTTTGATTATTTAGCAGGTAACATCTAAAGGAACTGGTTTAAATCCTAATGCCAAAGTGTGGCAAGAAATTCCTCATGGAAATACTGATGTCACGCCAGTAACTCATGGAACTGAAAGCTCTTGGCATGAAACAGCAGCAACATCAGGGTCTCATCCTGAGGGTGAGTCCTAAATATTTTGTCAGAATAAAACACATTTTGGTTAAATATATCCCCGAACCAATTTAGAGAACTTTAGGGTACATCCTTTGATTATTTAATTAAATATGTTTATAAATGTTTAACGTATAGTTTGTATACAATTCTTGTATCTAGTATGAATGGTCACCAATTTCAAACAGAAGCTTGAAATCTTTGGGTCTAGCCTTTAAGCCCATTTATAAAATGGTATTTATAAATTAGTGTTGATCTACCACTTATTTGACCTTGGACAGATGACTTAATTTTCCCATGCTTGTGTCCTTAATCTTTAGATTAAACAACAATAATAAAAATAGTAATAATTATTACTTTTGGCAGAATTGAGTAAAAGTGCATTAAGTAGTCTGATACATAGATAGTGCTATGTAAGTTTAAGCTATTAACCATTTTAGCTTATCCATAATTGTCAAAACTTAACTCCCTTAGAAAGAGAACTGTTACTTAAAATCATATGGACATTTTACCAACCGGTAGATTCCTTGAAATCTTGTTATAGAAGACATAGGGCCCAGAGTTCCTAAAGATAGGATTTGAAGAATTTCTATTTTTAGTATGTTTTCTTTCATACAGGTAATACAGAGCTTTCAGATGATATGTGTAAGGAATATGAAGTAATGTATTCATCTTGTGAAACCACAAGAAATTCTACAGGCATTGAAGAATCAACTAATGGAATGATTTTAGGGCCAGAAGATCTGAGTTACCAAATATATGACATTTCCGGTAAGCTTTAGGTTTTTATTGATCAAAGGAGAATTCAATATGCTAGTCTTCTTACCCCCTCCCCCCACCCTCCCCTCAAGTCTCTTTATCATTGTTCTAATTAAACTGTGTATTCATTATTTTCTTATTGGGAAAAAAGTTTATGTTAATGAAATGCTGTTAGGTGATATCAATAAATACTGTTTTAAAATGGCCAAACGTGAAAATTGTAATTAAAAAAATATTAATTTTAAATTTCCTATTAAAAGAAAGTGTGAAATTCAAGAAGAAAGGGGAAAAATATTCAAAATAGTTGAAAGAAACCTAAATTACAATTTTTCATAGGGTCCAACTTTGTTGGGATTAGTGCAAGTTCTTTCAATTTTCCTATCACTTTCCCCCCCCCCTCTAAATATTTATGAGTGAAATATGACCCTGGGACTTCATTGTTCCCGTGACCCATCACTTTTGTCAGTGTGAAATGCATTTATAAATATGAAGTTGCAGGGATTAATTTTAAGGAAAAGGCTGTATTAAAAATAAAAACATGGTTCTACAATTTAACTTGTGAGACGTGTTTTTTTTTCCCCATATTCACTTAATTGTTATGGATTAGTAGTTGATTGGATTTAAAGTGGATGAAATCTAAAGGAAACTAAAACTGTACCATAGACCCTCATGACCTAACTTAATTTTTCTAATTTCTGAAGGGTCTCTTTGGTAAATAAGTGTAATGGGAGGGTGTAGGCATTTCTGTCTTTGCCTTCAGTCAAGGTATATAAATCTTTGTCTTCAATTTCCTTATTTATTATAAATATTTGGACTAGATTTCTAAAATCTGTTGGCTTGTAAGTTGATTTCGGAAGTGGAATGAGATGGTATTTCCATATAATAATTTAAGGTGATAGGCTCTGCTCTCTACTTATGGTCATAATATACCTAACTGGTGGTTACTTCGTTGTTTTTTGTTTGTTTGCTTTAGTTTTTAATATACTTTTATTGATTTCAGAGAGGAATGGAGAGGGAGAGAGATAGAAACACCAACGAAGAGAGGGAATCATTGATTGGCTGCCTTCTGCAAACCCCACACTGGATGTCAAGCCCGTAACCCGGGCATGTTCTCTGACCTCCTGGTTCATAGGTGAATTCTCAACCACTGAGCCATGATGGCTGGGCATTACTGGATGACTACTTTGAACATAGAGTTGGTTTAAGTGATGTAGCAACCAGTTGATATTTTAATAAATTTGCTATAATGACATTGAAAGGTTAAATGAAGTTATTGCTCATTTAGGTAGCAATTGAGAAAATGAATTTTGTATTAGAAATTTACATAAAAATAGAATGCTTCTTCATTTTAATGAAGTTACTTTAATATCTAATATTACTTTGAATCTTGAATAGTAAGACAAGGTGGTGGTAAAATCATGTACAGAATTTATCTTTTTATTTTTTATTGGTTTTGGAGAGGAAGGGAGAGGGAGAAAGAGATAGAAACATCAATGATGAGAGAGAATCGTGGATCGGCTGCCTTCTACATGCCTCCCACTGGGGTTTGAGCCCGCAACCCGGGCACGTGCTGTTGACCGGAATCAATCTCAGGACCCTTCAGTCCGCAGGCCCTCGCTCCATCCACTGAGCCAAACCAGCCAGGGCAGAATTTATCTTTGTATACATCCTATTGTCTGTGTATTTAAAGGAAATTAATCATTAATGCTTTTGAAGAGGACAGCTCAGCAGAGTGGCTTGGTTGAGTGCCATTCCGGGCATGAAAGGTTGCTGGCTTGATTCCTGGTCAGGGCACATACCTGAGTTTCAGGTTTGATTATCCCACCTAGGTTGAGGCTCTTCCCCAGCCTCAGGCCCTGGTCAGGGTTCATGCAGGAGGCAGCCAATCTGTTTCTCTCACATCGGTATTTTTCTCTGTCTTTCCCTCTCTCTAAAAATCTATGGCAGCATGTCCTCAGGTGAGGATTTAAAAAAAAAGACCAATTGTATGCTTTGAGTCTGTAATGTCTTGTGTAAGATAGTCTTAGTTTTCCAGGTTTGAGTCCTCCCAAAAAAGGCTCATGTTCTGGGTTTAAATAATAGAAAGTATAGGAGACTATTATAGAGTTGATCTGGTCCTTTGGACATTTGAGTGCTTTAAATATTCATAGGAAGATAATGGAGTTCTAAAATTAAGGAGTGAAAAAAATATTAAGAGATAGAAGTTGAGCCCAGCT